ACCCCGCACAACATGATCTACTCGACCACCATTATGGTTACCGAAAAAAATAAAAACGGAGGTAAAACAAGAAAGCGGTAACCTGGTTGCCGAGTTCACGACGTGAATTGGCTTATTGTACAACGTTGTCGCCAAGTGACGAAAACCCAACCCCGATGGCAAACACCGGGGGGCGGCAGCTTGTTTCACAACGTCGTTGCCAAGCGACGAAAACCCAACCCCGCCTCGCATCCCTACAAAGCCGGGACGGAGCACGCCGGGGTCTCACCGGACCAGGCTCTNTCGGTGGGAGGGATTTATCAAAATGTTTGAAATGTTCCATTACCGAGGGGCAAGTAGGAAGGGGTTCTGGGACAAAGCAATGGAGAATAACGGGCATGGTGCAACTTGAACGTGTTGCGTGTTTGTTCTCACGTCAAGAAGAGAGTCAAGGATAGGATAATTAACATTTCGCACATGTTTTGTTTTCATTGTTGTCCCTCAACGGTGCTGCGTTTTCGTCTGGAAGGTCATGTCAGAGGCGATTAAGGAGGAAGGCAAGGCCAAGTTTCAGCGTGGGGACTACATGGGTGCCGCTAAGGTGAGACGGAATCAAAGGTTTTCGTGTGTACCCCGTATTGTATCGTTAGCGTACCACCTGTACTGCAGATTTTCGTGTCTAAAATTTAGCATTGCAGTACACAATCTCGTTGAACCATCTCCACTTGCCGTGTGAAATTGCGCAGTGTCAACATGCTTGGGAAGAGATTTGGTAACTGTTTTTGTGTACAGTCGTACGCCCTCTACTGTAAAACGCAGGTGTGCGCCAGACCGATTTCACCCGTCCTATGGCGGGCACCCGCACTATTCAATGTAGTAACCGTTAACCGTCTTGAATACTTTTATGTGTGCCAGCCAATTTCACACGGCTAAAAAGCGGGCACCCCCCTAGTATATCCCGACTTAAAGAAGGCCTACGACCGTATGACCAGCGATGGGATGTTTTGCCGGGGCTTCGATGCTCTACCAGCGCGCGACAGCAGCAAGCTCCAGCAACAAGGACGTTTCACAACCGGTAACAACAACAACAACAACCGAACCCCTCCACCCGCACGCGAAAAAAGGAAAAATCACACACACACACACACACACACACACACATGCCCCCTCACGGGGTCCCAGTTCATGGCAGATAGAAGTGTTTTGTGTTTTCGACCGCACTGAAACTGACGTCTTTTCATTGGCCAGCCGGTTAGCGCGGTCGATGCTTATAATAAAAACACGAACACACACATACGCACACGACACTCCCCACTCCAGGCGTACCGTCGGGCGGCCGAGGCTCTCGACGAGAGGACCGCCCCCACCGCCGACCGGCTAGAGCCCGTGCGAACACGCCTCCGCACACTGTACGAGAAGTGCATGTGCAACGCGGCGGTGGCGGGCTTCAAGGCTGCGGCGGCGTCCCCCGCCCCCGGGGAGGCTCACAGCCTGGTGGTGGACACGTGCTCCAAGGCGCTGGCGCGGTGCGGGGGGAAGTGCCCGAAGGTACGGCGGTGATGGTATTGTGTGTGACGGTGTTGTGGTGATAGTTTTGGTGGTAAGGGGGGGCGGTACTGAGGGCGTACTCTTCTGTTTCGCATGCCTTCGCCGTTAGACGGTTGACCACGCGTCCTCGAGAGGACGGTGTTGGCGGTGTTTGCTGGTACGCGGCCCAGCATGGTGGTGTAGTGGTTTGGTGGTATCGGAGGAAGTGCCCAAAGGTGTGGTGATGTATGTGGTGATATGGTATGACGGTATCGAGCATGGTGTGATGTGTTGGTGGTATAGTGGTTTACGTGGTGCGTTGGTATGATGCTTTCGTTGTTCGATGGTGGGGTGTGGTGTGATGTGGTCCCGATGGTGTGTGACGACGAGAGGGTGCGATGGTGTATCATGTTTCATTGGATGATGATACGACGATGGCGTGTTCGATGGTGTGAAGGTCTGAGGGTACGACGGTAATATGGTTCCATGATGAGGTGGCATGATTGTAAGATGGTACGACGTGGTCAGATGTTATCATGGTAAACATTGTGGTATGATGGCACGACCTTGTGACAACGATACTGTACCGGCGGTCGTCCGTAAGGTTCATTTTCGATGCTCGTCCGAGTCACGCCTTCCCCCCCCCCCCCCCCCC